TTTACTTCCATGTTTTTCTCGATGAATCCGGTATCCGATTTCAATGAGGACTTTTCTGTATCTCTTCAGGTCACGATCGATTGTGTTACTGGTACAAATGCTTCTTATTCTTAACGCTAAGGACATGATCAGGCTTATTTTCCTCCTCAAAGGGTTGCAACCGTTCCATGTTGACTTCCTGTAGATTGACTTCTGAAGAGAAGGATCAGATCTTCTTTTCAACAAAACATCTAGAAATTAAATTTCATATTCCAAAATGAACTTATTAGAATGGCAGTAATTTTTCAAAATCTTCATTATAATTTCTGTGTCGGCACCTTTTTTACTCATGATGGAGGTATCATCCATGTATCCTTGTCCATATGGAAACTCTTTAAAATGGATCGTAGCATGCTACGTTCCAGGATTGCCCATAAGCAGTCTTCAAGAAGAGGATGTGGCGGCTATTCAACTGTCCCTCCGTCATTTTACCTGCATGGTGTGTCATTGAAATTGACGTTAAAAGTTTGCCTAAGCAGTAGACCTGGACACCCGTTTCTGGAGTGTCACCGTAGGAAGCAATTAATTCTGATTAGAGGGACATTAGTGGAGACAGAAGTAACACTCAAAGATGTCATTCCCTTCCAGAATATACTAACATTTATTAAATTGACGAATTCAAATGAATCTGGCACGGCAATGACTGTAACTGCTTCTGACAGGCAGAGAAGTGTCTGTGAGTCGATTGGAAATAGCATGATTTAGTGTATTTCCCATTTGCAAGATTCGGCTCAGCTATATGTTCACTATTGGGAGGCCTTATAAACAAGGAAGTACATGATTCGCTGGTCTTAGCGGTTCATATGTTATGGAGCTAACAACTGATTCGTTCTTCGTCTTCCTGAAGATACGTTAACTTCTCTAATTTTTCACTTTCGTTCTTCAAAATATTCTCTTTTGAAAATTTATTTTTATCTTAATGTAACCAGAAACGTAACCGATAGCTCCTACCTTGGCGTGGTGGTTGGGCTAGGATGTCATAGTGACCTTACGCACTATACTGGCTGGAGATAATGTTCGTTCAGATCTTACTACGTCAAAAAGGTCGACTGGATAGCGGTTAGACTAGAATGCGGTCGCAGTCACAGTTTAAGTTGTTTACACTATGTTGGAGGTCTGTGGGTGAAGTCGTACTTCTGGGAAATATGGATGTAATAATAGTCAGGTGTTTCTGCCACGTGGCCAGCTATGCTGCATTTCCACTCGGGGAATGACATGGGATAGTGAAGTTCGACTCCGAAGACTTAGTTTGTGGCGCTCCGCAGTTGACAGTAAGATCTCAGTAAGGATACAACTCAGAAAGCCACTTCAGACAGGACCTGTGTGACCGGCTCAAAGCTGTTGTTCTCAGTGCTCAGCGAATACTCAACACTAATGCTCCTTCTGTTTAGGTACCCTGAAAATAAATCAACTTAAGTGTCGTGGACAGCGGGGAAGTTATTAATGGCCACACACTTCCATAGGCATACAAAACTTTCCTAACCATCACTCAGGTTCACTTTTAACATATTGCTCTCCTGATGCTGTCAATACAATCTATCCCTCATCTCTTAATCCTGTGGCCATTAATAGAGATGACAACCGGAAAAACACTACAGACAGTATCTAGAAACCACTCTGTTAACTTCACATTGCAGCATTTAAATAAATCACGCATCTGGCCACACTAGCCATAACTGTAGAATGTCGAGTGACAGATGTATGTTGTGTTTCACAGACACTCATCTGTCTGTCTGTTTTCGACATAGAACTTTGCACAAATGTGCGGAAGTTCAAGTCGCCACATTCCATGTAGCACACAAAGCAAGAGAAGAAAGTAGAAGAAATGCATAATAGAGACAGTAAACAGAGCTGTGAGACAAAGGAATAGTAGTAACGAAGAACAAAACAGTTTCATTGGAAATCATAAGCCACAAGGAGTGGATGCATCTGCGCCATTGAGAACGAGAGACACTCATATAAAGCCTAAGCGTGGTTATTCGCTTAGCCCCACGTGACCGAAAGAGTAAGTCTGCAAAATACACCTTACGGGTATCAAAAGATTCTTTGACTAGTTCATGAGGACTTTCAGATGTAGGGATAGCATAAGGTGCTAGGGGAGAAAAATCCCCCATTTGAATGGATCCCAATAGACAGTCATGTGTTTCGTACAGCTGGGTGCATCCCTAAGAAGAACGAAAGGTTGCGATACCCTGCTGTTTTTTCACAGTCTTCTCTTACGCCTCAAAAGACTGCAATTCGGACGAAGTAAAGGATGAGTTATATCAAAAGCTGTCCGGTTTGCTGCTAAAGGCGAAAAGCTCAGACACAACTGTTCTAGCATGCTAATTCAATACTCAAGTAAGGAAGCCGTGCCACTCACAATAGTAATCGCGGCATATAGAATCTCACGCTAATGAACCCATTACAGTGATTGTATTCCACACTTCTGTTAAGATAATCACCCTTTTCGGTCAGCACTAGCTTCACACACCAGGAGATACTTTGACTAACCTGACAACTTCCATTATCAAATCAACGACGGACTCAAGTAGACCACATGACGACAAGCTATCGATGGGGTTGGTCGGCAGAAAGCTACAGCTACTTCTGGAATACCTACGTAAACTCCGGTCGCGCCTAAGTCTCTGCACGTATATGCCTACGGTTGAACGAACATACAACTAGGTACCACTTAAGCCTTGCCTATTCAAGGAATAAATAGCTAAACGCCTTTCTGTGATCCACAGTAAGAATTATCTTAAGGAAGCCTGGCATAACATTCAGTCAGCTACAGAAACAAAGATATAAGCCGTTGATAACCTGAAACCAAAGGTGAGTAAAAACCAGTGGATTTCTGTTGAATCATCTGAACTGATTCATGCAAGAAGACTCATTCCGGCAGGTTGCAAAAAAAGCTAGAGCAAAGCTGCTCAGAAGTCTCTGCAAAATGGTGAGTGGTAAAAGTCCACGAAATGAAAAAGGCATTGATGATAGGTAACACCAGATGACCAATTAGGCTCATTAGGGAAACAGGATTTAAAAGATAGATGATAAGCCCAACAATCTCTGAGAAAAGGGGGACCTCAATTAGCTCTCAGGATAGAAGGCTGTAACGTTGGAGAACATTTTGAAGGGAATTTAGCTGGATCGCAGCTAAACTTAACTTGCCCATTACTCAAAACCTGCCTGAATGCAATGGAAGCAAAGGTTTTTCAGATGCATCTGAATTTATAAAGGCTGCCTCCTATATGAAATGGCACAAAGAGCAGGACCTGATGGAATGACTTCAGAGGTGTTTAGGGACGGTAGTGATAAACTGTTGCATGGATTAAATAAAGTTCTAGACAATGTTTTAGAATGACAGTTCTGTTAATTTGGTGCAAATCATTGATTATTCCAGTTTATAAGAAGACGGATAAGTCTTCCTGTGATAATCATAGCGTGATAACCTTGACTGCATAGTATCTAAAGTTCCAGATTCAATAATTATCGTAGGCTAAGTGATGCTCGGGTCAAACAAACCCGATAAAGCTGACAGACTTGATAGCAGGAAGAGGGTGTATTGGTCATATCTCCAACTTTCGATGGATTCTGAAACACAGGCATACTTACCGAAGTCCAAAAATCACCATATTTCTTAACCTGAAGACGGAAGTTGACTCGGTAGACCGAGAGGTACTATGGCGATGTTTGGCTGTAGAGGGAATGCCAAGAAAAAATATCGCACTAATCAGGCACTCTAATCGAAATCGTGCAGCCATAAAAGAGCTTACGGAGAGTTAACCTCTGAAGTGATAACAACGAGTAATGTTGGTCAAGGATGCCCAATGTCCCCATTTCTGTTTAATTTCATCATATACATACTAATAGAGTTAACACTTAGTGACATAATGACTGAGGGACTGACTTGCTGCCAGGAAATAATCCTGTTGACTACGAATACGCGGATGATAAAGTTCTCCTGGACGAAGACGCTGATAAAATGCAGGATCTTCTGAACAGTTTCGGTTGCCAGAAGTGAAAAGAAACCTTGAATTTAAAACATAAGACGAACAGAGAAATTTTATGGACTACGATTCAATTTCAAGATGTTGTGAAGATGCAAATCTCGAACTTGTAAATAGTCTTAGGGCAGTTGATACATATCTGCGTCCCCCTGCTTCACAAGAGAAATATGTGTTCAATTACTGCAGTATATTGTTAACTCCTATCCAAATACAATCTTTGTCGTTGGGTCGGAAATTCGGTGTCATTTTGACAATTTCGGAGGGACTAGATGCGACAGTCCAGTCCGAAGGACTGATCTGTCAAACAAATGATCTCGCCGCCCCCCCCCCAGTGTTAAACAAATTACTTGGACAGTTCAAGTCAAAAGTGTTGAACAGCTGTCATCAATATGTTAACAACGAATCAAACGCCAGACAACTGACTTCAGCTGAGCAAATAAAGCAACTACGTAAGATTTTGACAAATAAAGACTTTCAGCTGACCCGTTCAGACAAAGGTGCTGTCTTCATTCTAATAGATCGTCAAAATGACATCGATAAAATCAATTGACCCGAAAGGATTAGTAACAAGGAAATCCATGAACAAACCAACATGGAACCTATTCCCCAATAAATATACAGAGGAAAATAGAGATGGATCGGGTACACGCTTAGGAGACCATTAACCGACATCGTATGCCAGGTCGTTTAGTAGGCCACGGATGGTAAACGAGGAGCTGGGAGTACCAGGGAGGCATATAAGAGGTCGTGGAGAGAGATGACAGCTTATGGAAAATATCAGAGCTAAACGCGAAGGACTAGAAAGGATAGGGTAAAATGGAGATGTGTTGCTACAGCCTTACTTTTTACTCGAAACCCAAGTGGATAATAAGTGAATAAATAAAATCAAGTACGGAATTTCAAACCTATAAATACTTCAACTGAATCAGAAGTATTAATTTTGTAAAAGTCGTTAGAAATAACAAGCGTAAATTGTAAAACGATTTTATTTTAAAGTATGTACAAAGACAAGAGACGCACAGTACTTCCAAAAGATGATACATGCATAATATTCATTTCACTCTTCCAATGCTGGGAGCCATAAACACGTTTGAAATGACCCTGTAGCTAGCATTGCAAACCGAGGATTAAATGCCATGCTATTAATAGCTGGATTTAGTAAATTATTAACATTTTCATAACCTGGTATGTTTGCCACACGTACTCCAGTTTCAACTGACCAAATATGAACAACTCCATCTGGTGAACCGACCAATATAAACTGACTGTCTGGTGTGAAAGTTGCATTTAACATCAGTCTCTCAGCGTTCGGTACCACCTATATCATTTAAGAATGTATATCGGTTAAAATCTAATCTGAATTATAAAGCAATTCTTCATAATCATAAATCATATGAAATTATGTCTGTCTGTCTGTTTTCGACATAGAACTTTGCACAAATGTGCACCAGTTCAAGTCGCCACACTCCATGTAGCACGCGAAGCAAGAGAAGAAAGTACAAGAAAAGCATAATAGAGACAGTGAGCAGAGGTGTGAGACAAAGGAGTAATAAAGAAAAACAAAACAGTTTCATTGGAGATCATAGGTCACAAGGAGTGGATGCATCTGCGCCACTGAGAACGATTTTGAGCCATGTCACCAATTGTTTCCAACCATAGATTTTTACTGTCCCGAGGACCCCAGCCTGGAAGTCTACACCTTCCTACGTGGCTTAGACCAACTGTTGTGGATTTCATTGTATGTAGTGTTTACTACACAAATAAAGGCATGTAAGGTTGACTTTAGTAATCATCACTGGTATGTGAATGAAAGTTTACAAAGTAAATAACAATAATAAACACGAGTCTCTGATAAAATAACTTTCAGAACATGTTTAGCAAGTGTTAGATTCGTTCTTTTACACCTGCTCCAAGGTAAGATAATACAATGACGACCATAATTACCAGTCAAATGAGTCGAGTAAAACTGAATTTATGCATCAATTTAAAAACAGTATATTAAATGATCATTATCTCACTGGAATCTCTTAGACTCTGAATATCAATGGCTGAACGCTATCATTAGCATAGCTTACAATAGATAGTTGCGGGAGCAAGCGTATTATATCTCCACTTAGCTTGATGTTTTGCAAATTTTTATACTCATCCCACTACTATTCCCTACTCTTACACTTTTCCTTCTCTAGATGAACTAATATATTCCTCGGTAATCTAGTAGATTAATCTGTTTATGAATGCTTTTACCGTCTGTGACTACTATTTGCTCAGTCCTATGAAAGTTCTAAAAACTGAAATATCTCCTTATGATGTTTTCTGTTTCTGAACAGAAATGAGTCAATCACTTAGACACTGATATTGAATGTGAACACCTATTCAGTCAAACAAGGGATCTAGTTCCATCGTCTACCCTGGAACTAGGACGCTTCAAATTCAGTCTGGTGAATTGTTGTTATCAGTACAATAACATCAAATACGATAGTAAAAATTTCTTGACATAGGAACACAGAGAAGAACTAAATAAACTGATAAATGACGAAAGACTGATAATAACAAAGTCTGATATAGGATCACGAGTACTCCACCTCGATGAATGATATACTGAAAGGCCAACAGAAGTTTCAAAACTTGAGATGAAAAATTTCAATGACAAAATAGAGAACGAATTAAAGACGTTTGAAGAAACTCAGGGAGGAACAGATATTCCTGAAAGTTCATATTAAGAAATCAGGCCAACAGGCACGTACACGCCAAGATTGTATGGCCAACTTAAAGTACATAAACCGGATGTACCGTTAAGACCAATACTTGATATGCGAATTTCGCCCTACCATGCTCTAGTTAGATGGTCAGTAAATATTTTCGGACCTTTCAATCAGCAGGAATTGAAACAGAGCGTCGAAGATGTATTGGAATTCGTAGGCTAAAACAAAGATATATCAAGTACAAACCAAAGATATCTTTGAACATAACATCTCTATTCACAAATGTACCTATAGTAGAAACGATTAAATACTTATGTAAACAAGTGTATAACCAGTCGACATATATTCGCATCCCAATGAAAATCCTAAAAGAATTGTTCCTAAGGTGTAACATGAATATAAATTTCAAATTTGATGGCATACTTTACATACAAGTGAACAGGTTGGTGATGGACTCCCTATTGGGTCCTATTTTGGCAGATTTCTTTCTAAGTAAACTAGAAAATGGATCTCTGAACAACCTTATCAGAAAATTCTGATTTTATTGCCGGTATATGGATGACACCTGCATTCTTTTTGATAATGATTCGGATAGGAGTACAATAATTACTGGCACTATAATTAGCTCCCAGGATAGACGACTGGATCGTTGGAAAGAGCATTATGAGGAGCAGTTTAATTGGCCCACAGCCACGCTCAACCTTCCGAGCATCCAACACCTCCCTGAATGGGATATAGACACAGGTCCTCCATCCCTAACTGAGGTTACTAAAGCTGTCACCAATCTGAAACTAGGCAAAGCAGCGGGACCTGATGGAATGACTCCAGAGGTATTTAAGTACGGTGGAGACAGCTTACTGTCCGGATTAACTGAGGTACTAGGCAGCGTCTGGGAATCAGAAGAAGTCCCATCGGGTTGGTGTAAGTCACTGATTATCCCCATATACAAGAAGGGAGACAAGTCTTCCTGTGATAATCACAGAGGGATTAGCTTGACTAATATAGTATCTAAAGTCTTAGGCTCAATAATCATGCGTAGACTGAGTGGTGCTCGGGAAGCACAAACACGAGAGAGCCAGGCAGGCTTTAGACCAGGAAGAGGGTGTATTGATCATATCTTCACCCTCCGACAGATTCTAGAACATAGGCATTCCTACCGGCGTCCAACAGTCATTATATTTCTTGACCTAAAGGCAGCATTCGACTCTGTCGATCGGGAAGTTCTCTGGAGATGCTTGGCTGTAAAGGGAATTCCGAGAAAATATATTGCACTGATTAAGGCACTCTACTCGTACTCATACAGCCAGGTGAGGGCTTACGGCGAGCTGTCATCTGAACTGATGACGACCAGTGGTGTCCGTCAAGGATGCCCATTATCTCCTTTTCTATTCAACTTCATCATAGATGTGTTAATGGACTTAACCCTAAGTGACTTCAGCGACTCAGGGATTGACTTGCTACCGGGGAATAATCTCGTTGACTTGGAATATGCAGACGATATAGTCCTTCTAGGCGAAGACGCTGACGAAATGCAGAGTCTTCTAAACACCTTGAGCCGCAATCTACGAATGTTTGGCATGCGATTCGCTCCCGCCAAATGCAAGATGATGTTACAGGACTGGACTACATCGACGCCTAGTTTAAAAATAGGAAGTGAAGTGGTAGAGCACGTTGACCGCTTCACTTATTTGGGAAGTACCATCAGCCAGTGCCAACGGGCTGATCTCTGACGAAATCTCAGCACGAATACAGGGGGCTCGTTTCGCATTTGCCAGTTTACGCCGACTCTGGCGTAGACGAGATGTTCGACTATCGACCAAAGGGCGGGTGTACTGCTCATCAGTCCGCTCCGTCCTCCTTTATGGTTGTGAGACCTGGCCACTGAGAGTGGAAGACATGAAAAGACTAGCTGTCTTTGATCATAGGTGCCTGCGCTCTATTTCCCGTGTAAAGTGGCATAATAAGGTGAGCAACATTGAGGTTAGGCGTAGAGTTCTAGGTAAACAGGGGAAATCAATCGACGAAGTCGTGAAGTTACAAAGACTGAGATGGTTAGGACATGTGTTACGTATGCCAAGCCATCGCCTCCCTCGACGAGCAATGTTAGCGGATATAGGGTCAGGCTGGAAAAAAGCTAGCGGCGGTCAAACAAAAACTTGGCTTCACCAGTCAATGAAATCCACAACAGTTGGTCTAAGCCACGTAGGAAGGTGTAGACTTCCAGGCTGGGGTCCTCGGGACGGTAAAAATCTATGGTTGGAAACAATTGGTGACATGGCTCAAAATCGTTCTCAGTGGCGCAGATGCATCCACTCCTTGTGACTTATGATCTCCAATGAAACTGTTTTGTTTTTCTTTATTACTCCTTTGTCTCACACCTCTGCTCACTGTTTCTATTATGCTTTTCTTGTACTTTCTTCTCTTGCTTCGCGTGCTACACGGAGTGTGGCGACTTGAACTTCCGCACATTTGTGCAAAGTTCTATGTCGAAAATAGACAGACAGACAATAATTACTTAAGTCAATGAAGTACATTCGGCTATGAAATTCATGTGCGAAGTGGAATCCCGAAACAGAATCGCCTTCCTGGATGTCCTTCTTACAAGAAAACCAGATGGTAGAATAAAAACAAATTTGTATAGCAAAAGCAGATGGATAGGACAATATACACATTTTCATAGCTTCGTTCCTCTCCAGTACAAAAGAAATTTAGTACGGACCCTCAGCCAAAGGGTTACAGCTATATGCTGAGAAGAGGTAAATGAATAAGAACTAAGGATTGTATATGATAACTTGATCGAATATAGCTATCCAGACAAATTCACCAGAAGACATATGACTAAGGAAGTTGAAAAGGACTACTCACTATCTGTAAACAAGAAGCCTTTATACACCACTGCAATTCAAGGGCGACATAACTAGCAAAATATTTACGAATTAGTTAAGAAGATCAGTTCAAACAACTTTTAATGCTGGTAAACTACAAGTTTTACTTCCTACACGATCAATGATGGTTCCTCAACTGAAAGATGAAGTACATAGACTCGACACTTCTAATTGTATCTACCAAATGCCCCTGTGGAGCGAGTTATATTGACTGTTGCTCTGGGAACTTGATTTTTCGTGCTCGGCAACATCCACCAGTGTGTCTAAGTAAAGGTGTAGTGAAAATAACCAGCAGTTCGACATTACGCCATCTGGTCCTATCCGGTCACAAAGGTAGCAGTGAAGAATACTTTTCTATCATCTACTGGGTGCCAAATCGCCAAAAACATCGAAGCACCACATGCTCCAAACAGCAGAGGCTATTGCAATTCGCGTGAAATAGCCAGTGCTTTGTGTGCAAAAGAAGCAAGTCCAGCCACTACTACTGCCCTGGCCTTCAGCAGAGACTATAAATTCATGAATTTGTAACATTATCTTTCCTAATTTTTCTGACATAGTTTACTTTTATGTTGATGCTATCGAACTGTAATCCATTGATATTATTATTGATTCGATGTTATTTAAACATATAATGTTAATAACACTAATCCATTTACTATTATGCATATATAACTGTAGAACCTGATGTTGGAATTATCGAAAAGAATATTCTTCGTTCAGTACCCATTTTTTTGAAAATACAATGAATTACTTAAACACATCTTTGTCCATCTCTGCTTTTCTAACTAATCTTTTGTCCTTTATCTATCCGCTTATATATTTCATAAATAAATGTACACAAAGCCGTTTTGGTCTTAATACAGCTTGTATCTTAAACCAAATCTGAAGATTACTTGTAAAATATTGGCGCAAATTTTAGTCATCTTAATATCATAAAACGACCGTTTCATTTTTAAAAACCTGAATAAATAGGGCCTTGATAACATTTATTTATTTATCTATTAGATCTACACAACAGAAGAATACTGAATTATATTTTGGAGTTAATTTCTTCATCACAAGCATACTAAGATAACTCTATAACTTTTACACACCTGCTTTAATGTAAGCGCATAACTGTCTAGATATGAAGAAAATAAAAACGAGTTGCTTCTATTTACTCATACATGGTGCTGATTTCGTAGAAAGCTTTAAGTACTAACTTCTCACTCCCATTTTTAACATATACCACTCTTTAGAGTCGTTAGAAAGAATTTTTACGAAACAAGTCTATCACACAGGATCAATAACATTGTATGTGATAATACTGAATTATTAATGAGTACCCAGGCATCGACTTGAATAAAAGACTGTATATTACCACATATGACACCATATGAGATCCCGATTCAGTGACAGTGATGTTATCATGATGATGGTCTTCTTTTTCATAGTTCTTATATAAGTGTCCGGATACATTTGCGAGAAATTTATGTGTAGACTTTGTTTTGAATCTGATATTTTATGCTGTACGTTTTCCGCTTTACAAGTCAGACTTCCTGTGTTCTTACTTATACAGCTTAAGTACCATTTACACCATGATGATGAAGACTTTAACTCGCCTTTCATTAACTGGGCAGTCCAGTAATGCCGTTTCATCAACCAACATACTTTTTATAGAGAAAATACAAAGATTAGGATTCGTGTCAAGGATTCCGATTACGCTGTCCAGTTGTTTGAGTTGGTTACTTAGAATGAAGATCTCCTAAAGAACACAAATGGACACTTCATGGTCGTGTTTCACTTTTACTGTCTTGAGTTTTCAGATTCAACCTAACCGTCTTTTCAAAACATAAACTACATAAAGTGCTATTTATTCCACAGAGCAAAGAACAATGGCTAGTATAAAAATAGGAGTCTTATCTTACCGTAAACGTATGCAAATGAGTCCCTTTAAATGCATCAATCATCCGAATATGAGTACCGTTGGTTGTTAACACAAGAGCTTTACCATCTGGAGAAAACTGCAAATTAGTCCAAAAGCAACCATTCGCTTCCGCGCCTAACTTGAATGTAGCAAAAGGGCCTTTATCAAATGATCGTAGATCGTACAATTTGACTGACTCTGAACTTATTCCAGCTGCAAATATAAGTCCTTCTGGATCAAAAGCAGTTGTAGGTCGACCAGAAATATGCATCACACCCTTGAAAACAATCAATACAAAAACCAGAGTCTTAAGACTACGCAAAGAACTAAATGAATAACCCAAGTAATAATACACAAAAAAGGGGACTGAAATCCAGATAAAATTAGAAGTACTTATTTTATTAATATCAGTAAAAAGTTTGAGCATTGTTTTATTCGCTTTACTGAACCCGTTGGAATTCATTTTGTCCTTAATTATGAACTGAGACGTCAGTGACTGATTCAGTAAGTTTCAACAAAGGACTCAGCACGAATGCAACGCTTCAAGTCACTATATAAAATGTAACACGCAAACTTAGACAAAAAATGATTAAAAAAAACTATGATAAGCATAAATGTACAGGAGAAAGAATAGAAACATGAAAAAACTCAATGGTCTAATGAACATAGAAGATAATAAAAAGTAAATGCATGTGCCATTGAGAATGATTTTCAGATATATTATCAAGAGTCTCCAACCATTGGTTCGTAGACTAAACCTCGTACAAACCAACTGTCAATAACTTCATGGAGTGAGCTGACCACCCGTATTTCAGCTAACATTGGTCATCGATGAAAACGGTGTCTTCACATGAGTAAGGCATCCCGTCTCAATCGATTCACTTTTATGACCTTATTACATGACAACCTGCCTAACCACATACTGTAACAACTAACAGAATTAGGACGCAGAAACCTGTGGTCAAAGACAGCTGATCTAATCATACTTTTCAATTCCAATAGCTTTGTCTCGTGGCCATAAAAAGACAGAGCAAACCTCTGCGCCGTACGTACGTCCTTTGATCAACAGCCGGCTATCGCGTCTACGTCAAATATCACACAAGTGTGCAAACGCCACGCTAGCTTTTTGTATCTACGTATCAGTCTTAAAGTATAAATGTCGTGGCCTACAAAACCCAACTCCACAACAAACTTCTGACAGCATAATCTATAAGAGCTTCAAATAAGTAGAATAAATTCATGCTTTAGTAAAATTGCACCGTAAAAACCCGACAATTTCAGGTTTCTAGCAAGTAGGACGGCATTTTGAATCGCTGTGTAAATGTCCTAAGATCAACTTTGGGTATAACATTTCTTATCGCTTGTAACAAAATAGCATCAGAAAAAGTTTTTGTTGTAGGTGTCACAACGACATTACATTGGGAAGAGTTACGAACCGGAAACACGGTAAGTAAATTACTAAGAAACAAACGTACGTGGCAATTGGGCGACCTTAAATCCCACAGGCGTATGGTGAAGTCCATTGCACCAGACAAGAATGTATCATCAATAGGCGACATACATAAGGAAACAACCCTACAAAATGGGCTTATTAAAGCATAACATACCTTGAAACATGACTCTGAAAATATCTAATATATTTGTTATCATGCAGTGAAAGATAACGTATGGTATCTTGTAATAATTTACGGTTAATTTAAAAACTCGGTACCATCGATCTTGGTAGAAGCGTGAATAGCGGTGCTGGGACTGTGCGTAAATTGTATAAGATTAACTCCATATTTTTTGCTAAATAAAGTTCGTCTAGGTCTATAAAAAAGCAGTCGCATGGGAAATAAGAATTACGTTCCACTTGAACAATCATAAATCACCATCTGGTCATCATCACTGCTAGATATAAGTGATTCCCCATTGCTGGAAAAGCTGAGAGAGTTGATATTATCACAATTTTCTTTAAAATATTTCACGGGCTTAAATGATCGTATGGTAGAATCTGTCAACTTCATTAGTTCGAAAGAGCAGTCTGCAATTTTGAGTGCCCGCGAGTGAGATAAACAAATAACTTACTCGCTAGTGATTGGCCAGTTTGTCATTGGAGTTGAGGCAATTTCAAACATCATTCGAAGGTGCCCTTGAAGATTGATTAACGCGGTCCGTTCACCAATCCAATATCCAATGTTGTTTTAAGGAAGGTGAACTTATCCCGAATGTTGGTTGAAACTTCGCTCTGTAAATCTTTTTTGTCAATAAATTTTAATAAAATCGTGTCATATATGTTTTCTAGATTGATAGGAATTTTCATCTCTTGACTTATTATATTATTATTATATACTTTAATTCCTAGAGGAACATAGGGCTTCAGCTGCACACCTTTATTGCCTTCTGTTTTCTGCCAACTTTTTCACCCTGCTCCAATTCTGTCCACATGCTTTCATCTCCTCTTCACATGACCTCCTCCAAGTCACCCTTGGACGACCAACTCGCCACTTCCCTTTCGGGTTCCATTCGAGCAATGACTTGTCTAGTGATGTCACTTGATGGATTTCTCAGCATATGGCCAATCCGCGTTGATTTCTTCCTTCATATTTGTTTCACAATCGGTTCCTCGTTGGTTCACTCATTGCGAGAGACCCTATTGCTAATCCTTTCTGGCCATCTCATCTTGAATATTGAGCGAAAACAACTGTTAATGAAGGTCTGAAGTTTGTTTGGGGTGCTCTCCATGACTCAACAAGTCTCTGATCCGTATAGTAGCACTGACTGACTTCACATTGGAGTTGAAAATCCGGATCTTATTTTTGATGCTGAGTGCTGTTGACTTCCACACAGACATAAGAGTAATGAAAGCTTGTCTTGCCTTTCCGATTCTGGCTTTGATATACTCGTCAGTTCCGCCTGTAGTTGAAAGGATGCTTCTCAGGTAGGTAAAGGAGACTGTTTCTTTCAGGTTCCTCCCATTTATGCTAGCTGATTGTTGTCTGATAGTGTTGTTGCTGTTGGCCAGATATCTTCATCACTTATGTTTTCTCTATGTTCACCTGAAGTCCTATCTTCTCAGGATGCTTCTTCTGCCAGCTTGTTGCTTTTCACTTGCATATCTTCCAGTTTATGGGAAATCAGACATATATCATCGGCGAAGTCCAGATCCTCCAAGTTCTATTTTGTGTGAGTCCATTTTAATGCCTGTTTCCTCATTTCCCACTGTCTGTCTTATTACCCAATCTACACAATCAGGAAAATCATTGGCGATAGTAGACAGCCAGCTTGTCTTACTCCCGTCCTCACTTCGAAGTCTTCCGTAAGTCTCCCGTTGTGGATTACTTGGCATGCCGCATTGTCGTATAACTGTTGGATGAGATGTATAATTGTCGATGGCACCCCGCAGTAGCGAAGTAGTTGCCAAATGACCACTCGATCGACACTGTCGAAGGCCTTTTCAAAGTCGAGGAAGTTGAGATAGAGAGGTGACTGACATTCCAAGCTTTGTTGAATAATGATCCGTAGAGTGGTGATTTGATCAATACACGACTTGTTTCTCCTGAATCCAGCTTGTTCCGGTCGAAGTGTTTCGTCCAGGGCTTGTTTGATTCTCTCCGGGATGATGCGGCTTAGTATTTTGCTTGGAATGGACAGGAGCATAATTCCACGCCAGTTCTTGCATTGACTTAAGTCTCCTTTCTTCTTATCCTCAGGTACTTACCCTTTTTCCACACCTTCTCCAGTAGTGATGTCATCACGTCCACTGTTGTCTCTGGGTCGATTTTCAATGCTTCTGCTAGGATTCCATCCAGTCCTGCTGCTTTTCCAGCTTTTAGCATCTTGATTGCATTCAAGACTTCTGATATCGTCGGAGGTCGATGTTCACTGGTAGTTCCACTTCCGTTGTTGGTATTGTTGGGCGCGTTGTAGGTGGCAGTCGATTTAGAAGTCTTTTGAAGTGTTCAGCCCAGTGTTTTCTTTGTTCCACCTCTTTGGTGTTTGACTTTCCATTGTCATTCTTGACTTTTTCCCGATAGGTGCCTGGTTGTGTGGTAGTGTGGCGAGGAGCACAGTTTGCTGTGCTTCAATTCCCATGGCTTCATAGTATTTTCTTCTGTCTTCCCTAGCACCCTTCTGTACTCTTTTGTTCAGTGCATTGTAGCTTGCATTCAGCTCCTGTTTATGTTGCTCGTCAGTGCACTGGATAATCTTTTGTTTCACTGTCCTTCTCTCTCATATTAGTTTCCAAGTGTCCTTAGTGAGCCACTGTTTGTCCTGCCTCTTCTTTCTACCTAAAACTTCCATGCAGGTTTGACTCCACAACGTTTTTAAGTTGTCCCAATGCTTTTCAAAGCTGACCTTTCCACTGGTGTTAATTTGTGTCTCGGCTTTGTCCCTTATGTTTGCAATGAAGATGTCCTTTGTAGCTTGGTCCTTCAGTTTCTGAGTGTTGAACTTAGCTTGTGGTCTATCTGCAGCTCCTGTTTCCCTAAAAGCTTTGAAATTGATTTGGATTGTCCCTTGTACGACATAGTGGTCTGAGCCAACGTCTGCTCCTCTTTTTGTTTTTGTGTCCAGTAGGCTGCGCCTCCACTTCCTTGAGCAGCATTGAGATGATGTCAATTTGGTTTTTTGTTTGCCCGTCTGGTGACGCCCATGCAGCTTTATGGATATCTTTGTGTTTGTGCATTCTGCTACCAATCACTGGCTCGTTGAAGGCGCAGAAGTCGACGAAGAGTTCTCCATTTTCATTCATTTCTTCGAGAGCTTCTCTACCCATGATGTGTTCGTTTCCTGTCTTGTCTGGTCCCACTTTGGTATTCATGTCTCCCTTTAGTATTTTAATGTCACCAGCTGGAGTATAGTTCATTGCTGCCTGTAGTTGTCTATAGAATTCTTCTTTCTTTTCGAGGTCTGCGTTATGTGTGGGTGCACAACATTGTATAATTGACACTTTCCTTCCTTTGGAGGTGAATCTGGCGATGACTATCCTCGACGAGATCGCCTCCTATTGCATCAGGGCCTATGTTGCCGTTGGTGACGTCATGATAGCCACGCCCTCGGTGTGCGTGTGGTTATCTTCTGGGTGACCGGAGTAGATCACTGACTCACCCATTGACAATTTGGTGAGTCCACTCCCGCTCCATCTGCTTTCACATATTCCCGTTATTTGGATTCCGTGTCTTTTCATCTCGTTTGCGATTTGGGCAGCTTTCCCTGTCTCATACATGGTGCGGACGTTTCGTGTTCCCACACAGACTTTTTATTTTGGCGCAAAGAGATTCATCGTGCTGAAGTTTCTGTAGCAATTTGTTTACAGGGTGGGGTTGCTAGCCTCACTTCTGAGAAAGGAATTGTTACATAAATATAAAGTTTAGAGAGAAGCGACCTTTTGGGTTGCTCCTCTTAAAATCGGATACAAGAGATAAAACAATCATAATAACACCAACAAACACACAAACAGCTTATCATTCTCTGACATGACTTGAAATACCTTCTAGTTACAATAAGGAGTATCGTTTGCTAAGTTAGACCAGTTCTCTACATGTATTCACCGAGTCGACTAAAGATGAGTTGCTTTTGTGAACTGTTTATCTCTCTTATCCAGTTGTGTAGTCCTCTCCAAATGACCCCGAACCCTAAATACAACACTTATCCTAGCCGTATACAGTGGCAAAACCGTACCATTAGCATATGTTCAAGGTCATTGGAGCGTTCGCACTCTTGGGACGTTATTGTTGAACTTTGCCGACTTCGGTCGTAGGATATCAATGCAGCATATTTTCGTGTGAAGAACGGTACAATTGGAAAAAAGAATGCTTTCAGTACATGGAAATCAACTGCAAATGCCGGCAGAGCTCCCTGTTGGAACCTTATTTACCATATATATGTGACTTTAACATTATTTGTGTCTGGGCAGGAATTGTTGTAAGTTTAAAGGTTATCTCTAAATGAATTTATTATATATTTGCACTGATTGGTGCATTGTATTATGGGTTATGTCGATTCAATGTGTAGAACATATCTCGACTTCATTAAAATTGTGCCACTGTGTGCTCAGCTAACAAATGTAGGTGGTTCTCATGATTGCTGCGTGTGCAGTGCATTGAAGAAAGCAATCACTCGTTTAAATTTCCTTACTGTGTCACTTAGGGCATTAGTTCAGTGTATGGTATTGTAACAACAGAAGACAAGGGACAGGTAAAAGATCGTTTATTACGGAAATCAACGCGTATTTGTAGCTTCTCATGAACGTATTATAGATTATTGTTACCAGAAAAACAGTCTTCTGATTGGTTGTTTCTCACAGAAATTTAGCCTTTCATCTCTTTGTGGCTGTTTCTTGAATGTCAGATTACCTATATGTTAACTGTATCCGCCTACGCAAAGCCTTTGTTCCCATTTTTCTCACGACCAATATTGGGGACATAAACACTGACGTAAATTACTGTCAACCAAATTTGACTAATATCCAGCCCTCATCACGGTATTACTATACACACGGATTGTGTTAACCATGAGAACTGAGTCCAGTTAGCTCTATTATTAATAATCTGTCGCCTGGTATACCATTCTCACTGACACTGTATGCTCCACTAATTATGATCACCACTGGTGGAAGTAAATTGCTCCTGAAATTTCCATTAACATGAAAAAGTACAGATGCATTATCACGATTGGATGTCCAGGTTGAATTATACCTCAATGTTATCCTCACCAACACAACAGATCTCTGTATCTTACAATATTTTAAGTATTTCTCCATCCTGTTAATATTCTGCACAACTGTTTAGAGTTGAGACTTATGTTCTTCATATATGACGGCTATAGTTTACTAAATATGAGAGTGTTATTTCTTTAAGAATCATAAAACTCTTTTCACTAGACCTTACTGAGATTGTGGATAAATTTCCAAGTAACATATTTGCAATACTTCGTTTAATGTAAGCGTATTTAGTGTGAAGTTGTTCTGTAAGTACACTTGATAAGAGATTGACGCTGAAACAGTATGGGTTTTTCAGAGATTGTCTTGAAATTTACATATAATACTTTAATACTGGAAAACTTATGAGGTCTATTTATACAAACAGCATCAATATAAAAACCGGCTCTGGACTACAAATATTTTCATTTGCATGGGAATTTTACTGAGTACAAACAGAATCAGTGTATTCATAGT